TCTGTGTCCACAGTCTTTTTGAAGAAATTATAAGTAAATAACTTTATAAATGAGTCTTGGATTATGGAACAACATAACGGCAAGTAACACTGACACGCCAAAATCCAAATCGAATTCAAACACAGATTTCGAACATATATGGATGGTGTATCGGGCCTATTAGCTTCCTTCACTTCATTGATTCTGCGGTTCATTAATATATGTTCTAGAATTGGCACAAATATATGCCCTTTCGAGACAATGAACAAGAATATAATATTTAAGCCGTTAAGGTGATAACGCAGTCCGTGGTGACCCGTTAAATATTCCACCAGTAACCTCAATTCTGTTCTGCTGAGGAAGGATATCTTACCGTAATTGTAAGAACAGCTCTTTAGCCTGACGGTTAGTTGGAATATCGCACCGGTTACATTCTCATACCTCTTGTATATTATATTGTATTTTTTCATTATATTGTATAGATTCTCATAATTATCATATTAATGTGAATATGTATGTTTATATAACTAATATATTGTCTGCAATAGCGTTACCACTAAATCACAGACAGCAAGCATCAAATTCGGTCCCCAGGTCCAAAATGGACTAAATGAGATATTTTGCTTTTCAGAGTCAACTGAATTTGACTATGCAATTAGACTTAATATATTGTAGCAAAAATATTTAAACACATAAGCTAAGCTTTGTGTTTTTTCTTTAATTAATTTTACACGCCTGTATCGACTTCTTTCGGTTGAGAACCATTTAAGATGAAAGCATATTTAAAATATAAACATTTTTCACCTTTTGTATTATAATCAGCTATTGCAACTGTATGTCGGTCTTTGACGCAAGATACAAGATACATTTTCAAGGAACTTCATTTGAACTAATAAATGAAGTTGTATTAATGTTGATAACTTCACAGATAAGATTCAAAATAATTTGTTCCATTACTTATATAGAGTGCTTAATTTAACTATTTTAATTTAATTAAACTAATCATATAAATCTCAACTAATTTCATTTTAAAGGAGAAAGTATCTTTCATCAATTTGTTTAATTCAATCACATTTAGCTGAAACACTTTATTGAATGGAAGTCGCAAATGAACTTTGAACTGAGACTAAATTCTCGTTGCATTGCAATGACCTTCCCTATTTACTCTTCGACAGGCAATAATCCCTATTGTCTTTATTGGAATGTATCTGTTTCCGCATGAACTGAGCATTGATTTCATAATTGATTACCTAATTCCACTTGCAATAGTTCGACTGCACATCGATGTGTTGTTTGTTATTTCATTGCTCTATTAGTCGACTCCTCTCATATCTATGAAAGGTTAATATCCTGTAAATATTATCGACAAATATATATGTGTGTATGTGTCGATTTGAAGTAGTCGAGATAGGCATTAAGTAATAATTAACAAACCATAAGTTGTTATTAATTGATTACTTCAGCAAAAGTGTAATCGTCATTGTTTATAGTTTTTGTGTAAATTGTGAAGTACAAATTGCTTTATAATGGGTCCTTTACTCCTTTAAGCTGTTTTATGAGAGTGTTATTAAGTAATAATTATAGTAATTGAGTCATTAAATTTATTACATCGACAATTTACTGTTATAAGATTTGTTTGTAATTATTTTTTGCTATGAAAGCAATTTAGTTTGGTTGTTGAATTCACAGCCTTTCCTCACATCAAATGCATTAAAAGTTTATTATAGCCTCGAGTTCTAAATTTCTATGAAATAAAATAAACTTTTTCGATACCATTTTTAGTTAACACCAAGTAGTTCCCTTTCTATATGACGAAATATGAAAACATTAGTATTTCGATATCAATATATATTTAAATATACAAACAAGATCGCATTTGTGCAAATGAGTACACACACACGACGAACCTTCGGACGTAATACTTTATGGTAATTCCAGGAGCGACTTTCCGTCTGAACATAAACCAAAAAAAAACACATACACACCCCGAAGAAACACTTCAGTTGCTATTAGAAATTAATTTTAGAGAGGGACTTACTATAAGTAAACAGCATTTAAGTCCAACACAACCAACAAAATCATCAGACGCACCTACATAATAACATAGATATGCAGATTTAGTCCTTTGCGTATTCCCTTCCCATAGTGTCTGAATAGTGTCTGATGATGCAATTTGCATTATTCCTGGAAAACTTTTAGTGAACATATATGTAAAATAGCTAAGCTGCCCTTATAACAAGCAAAGTGTGACACCAGTAGAAAATCTGCCAAATGCTCGTGTTAACTTAGAGAACTGTAGCAAAGGTAGAAGCAATCGTTCAAAGTGCATTAGATATATGCGCTCATCTCCAACCTTGAAGAGTGAGTGTCAGGAAAACATGCTCAATTGGACTCAGATATTTAGCTGGCAACATATTTCTTAAAGTATGATGGCTTCATATTATCATATCAAATGTAAAATATTATTTTTAACTGAGAGTCCCTACTGCCCAAAATGTGTAAAAGGTGACAGAGCATAGAACATGTCTTTCATTGTGGCCACTTTAAAGACGAACTAGAACTCCACCAATGATATATGCTCAAGTGATTACAAATAGAATGAAGTAAGGACTTTCACATTTGGTAGAAGAACGCAAAGCTCCATCAGAATCGCATAACCAAGAAGGGCATTGCCAATAAAACCAATTGCAGTAACATAACAACAACGGTGACAAATAAAAAAAATACAGACATAGAACTGTAGTCGGTAAATTAAATGACGATAAAAAATAGACGTTTCAGCTACGTCTAACTAAGTCTAACTATAACACCGAACTTATCCACACCAAATTTTGAAGCCAACATTAGTGGTGTTCCAAATGTAATGAGGTCATTTATGGACAATTATATCCATCGCTAAGCTCAACCACTTTTCACATATAACGGATTTAGCAATGTACTATTTTCATCTTCCCGGAATAATGCATTTGAGAATGAAAAAAAAAGACTTCGTAGATGTAGAAGGTATGCAAAAAACTTACACTGACTTCCAGGAGAACACCATAGCCGTCTTTTTAAAGCAAAAGCGAATAGGGAACTCTTTTAAATGGACTTAATTGATTTCGTGAGAAACCTTTTTTAGTGCCTATTTATAAAAATCCCGTGTACTTTGACGTAATAAATTTATGTTAGTTATAATATTAATTCTACAGATCTATAAATCTACAAAAATTTTCATGGAGTGGTTTCGACTAGTAGTAAATTACACCAACAAAATTGTTATTATTTTTAATCAGTTGAATTTTTACCTGATACACAATTTTAATTCGTGAAACTTGTAAATTTTTATTTACAAACTTTTGACAGACGACTGGGATATTCTACAAAAGTTCCAATGAAGATTTACTATAGATCGCTTATCGCTTTGATAAAGTCGCTAAGATGTTTGGCCACTTCATAACTAGCCGTTTAGATAGAGAAAGTAGTGTTGTTGTTTTACGTACAAATAAGCGACTTGTTGTTTTTTTGCCATACTTCGGAGCTGCCGAACACAACTATTTATATTCGTTTTATATTCTTTTTGATCTACGGATAAATGTACAGAATGTACACATACATTTTGCCCTAAAATTGCTCTAAACTTCATAATTGTATTCTTGCTAAGAGAAGCGCAATAAATACTTTCATGCTGTGTAGAAATATTGAAGAAAGTTACGATCTTAAAATAAGTTTGTATCTATTTATTTGTACTTTTAACGATTTATATTTAATACAAATGTAGAGCTTGTAACTTTTCGCATAAATTGCGTTATTTGTCTTAATTGGCGTAAATGGCAAATTGAGAAAGTTTCAGTTTATATGAAATAAAGGTCAATTCCATTGGTGATTAAAGTAACGAAATATTGTACTCCAATTTTGTTCTTGTTCGCACTTAAAGTGGTGTTCAGTTACACTTCCACAGACACACGACCCCGAAGTGTACGCACAAGTAAAGATACAAATGCTCAATCAAGCGCAATATGTACTGTAATATCCTTGCCAAGCACACGAACAGAGAAGCACTTTCATACACATTTGAGCCTTCAAAGTTTATCAATAAAACATTCCAACAGCAACACACAACAGCTTCATAAATTTATTTCCGGTCAGCGCCACTTGCAGTAAAGTGTTTGGAATTTCTGGTTCCGGTATTTGGCTGTAGCTAAACTAACACGTCTACAGGATTCGGATTCGTGTATGCGATTTAGTCTCTTGAATTAATCAACGATTTATTGTATCAATGGAAAACGTAAGGAATGCCTGCCTCCATGGCAATGGCAACGGCAACAATGGCAATAGCACCAACTATGGACTTAACCACCAAACACTTAAAGCAATCGAACACGAAATTTGAATCCAAGGTGCAAATACTCGTACCTACGTAGTAGTGCCTACATTTGGTGAGTGCATGTGTACATGTGTGCATTGATGGCTGCCAGACCCATTATGAACGCTGCCCTGAGCCCGTGTACCACTGTGGGTGGGTGCAACATAAGTTTCGTTTTATTTGCCATAGGAAGTGGCACAGTATACAAATGGTGCTTCCGGCCAATATTTAAAGTGTCCAATTCACTATAAATTTTAACATTTAATGCAAAACCCTGGCATGCAATTATTGCTCAGAAATTGCTTACAACAGAAGTTGCTTCCTGTCTCCTGTGTCACAAAATAGACACAAGATAAGCGTACAAGGGATAAGCAAAATAAAGGGAATTGGTTAGCAATAAGGACTCTATATATGTATAAATTCCTTTAACACCTAGGAGGAGTATAGGGCCATACTACTTCCCATAGTTTGACAATAAATTTATGAGTGTTTTTCTTTCCTAATTGTCCCAAAATTGTCCCATATTAAAGAGAACAACACATTTTCGTTTTTTTAAATTTTAAATTTAACGTTAATATTAATATTTATTTAATTTATGTATATTTCAAAATCATGCAACGTAAGAGTCAAAATATATATTTTTATATATATATGTATGTATGTATATATTATTATATTGTATAATATGTATTTTAAATTTATAATATTTTTCTATGTTAATTAAATTTACATATGTACTCGTTAACGCAGGTTTAATCCTTGGCATGCACGTACGCACGCAAAGGATTGAGCAATTCCATTTCAATTACAATTCAGGATAGCGACAATACGATTTGCTTTCGATTAAATCAGGAGAAATCCAATCCTCATAGAGTGGTAGACGGTTTTTGAGCGCCTCAACTTCACGCAATATGCGCACCATATTTCCGCCGATTAACTTTTTGATGGCTGCTCGCTCCCAGACACGATCTCGAGCTAATTCGGCTAATAGGAATGCATAGCTTTTGGGCGGCGCACCGCCAAGTCCAATATGGTCCACACCAGCTATTTTGCGCACATAATTTATTGTGTTGATAGCCTCTCGAACGCTGAGAGGACGATCGCCACATCTTTCTAAATTTAACATAATAACACCACCATTATCTGGTAGCAAACTGAAAGACAAGTGAAGATATAAGAATTATTATAAAGTATAGTTAGCACAAATAGATGAATGAAAAAATTTTAATCTGTACAATTAAATATATATATATATAATATATAATTTTATTTCCCACTATTGTATTGTATCCACACTATACCAATACAAATTATATCCTAAGTTATCGATGCGCGGTCATGTAAGAAGGAGGCTTTCGGCAATGCGTCTCAATTAGTTAAAATAGTTAAGTCGATCCTTTAGTTTTTAAAATAATTGGGTTCAATCGGGTACCAAATCAGATAGAGTAAATACTAAATAAAAAAAGTCACTACATAATTCAATTCTTTACCAAGTCTTAAAATGACAGCGGTTAGTTAATGATTATAAAAAATGAATATTATAATTTGAACCCTCTGATAGACACAAAAAATGTTTTCAATGGTTCAAAATAGGTACTATAAACTGTAGATCATTTCAATTTATTTTTACTTCTCTGGAGCAATTATCATATAAAACTAAAGATGTTAGAATCTTTAGTTTCTTTAGATGTAAGATCTTTAGATGTTAAAAGTTTTAGTTTCTTTAAAAGTTAGATCTTTAGATGTTAGAATCTTTAATTTCTAACGTCTATTCTTCCTTCTTCGTCACTACAAACGGTTGCCAAAATCACAATAGTTTCAAAATTAAAACGACATATTTTTTAAAACGTATAATTTCAAATCGCCAACAAATTGTCGCTCTCTGGGTCACATGATCTATATTGTGACACATTGGTCTAACTATTTACAGTTTATGTACTCCTAGAAAGAATGACTAAATTCATTTTAACCTACGATAGCGGATAGTTTATTAAAATAACTTCGAAAAAACTGTTATTAAATTAATTAACTATTTCCATTATTTATTTTTAACTTAAATTAATTTATTAGAAAAAAGCTATAATTCAGAAATTATAATGCATCTGTCTTTCTTTAGTCCTTTCTAATCTTTGTATGATATATATATTATATATATATATTTAGTTTTGAAAATAGAACATCTAAGTTATATTTTATCTAAGAACACTATAAAACTATTTTAAACTCTATTTTATTCTTGATTGCTTATACGTATTTACTGTTTGTAATTGTAGCCAAAGCAATTAAGGTGCACGGCGTAAGGCGTATAGGCCCATTAAGTTAATTAAGGAAAACAAACAATTCTGGCCCAAAGCAACAGGCTGCGTGTAGCAAATCGTGTTGTTCGGTTTACAAAAATAATCTGCCAATGATGTGGACAGAGAAGTACATAACAACAAGCCAATCAACAGAAATAAAATATAAAAAAAAATGGGCAATGAAGACGTTATTATACCCTACAATCAGTAGCGAGGCGTCAGCTTTTTGGCAAGGTGTTCACAATTTAATCAAAACAGAATTCCAACTATAACGTATTCCCCCTACTTCTAAGTTTTGTCCTTTCCACAAGCAAATAGCGTACAAGACCAATAAAACAATTTATTTAAATGTTCGCAGCCTGTGATCCACTGGTTTTTATTTACCATAAAGCTATAGCTGTAGGAAAACGACGACTTACCATAGATTTCGACATTTTTACAACAGGTATCAAATTCTTCATATCTGGAGTTGGTTTATTAATTTTATGAATTAAAATCTTTTTTTCAAAAGATCGTTTATGTAAAAAAAGATATTTGAATCAAATCTTTAATCACACATTAATTCATTTCTAAATATTATTTTTCACTTCAAATTTCTTTAATTTTTTTCTTTACTTTTACTATTTGCTAGTATTAAATTGCAATAATGACTTTGTTATTGATTTATTTCCAACCTCTATATAAGAGTAAGAAACTCTCATGCATTCATTTACTCTTTTACTTTGTATTTACAATGCCCGGTTCAGTTTTCATACTGAACCATTTCCCCATATAAAACAGCAACCGTGACTTTGATTGTATTTGCACGCTTTGTATAAACTTTTGGTTCAGTTTAGTGGAATGATCCTCTCGTCAAATGTAAACCGATTTTCGCTCAGTTATTTCTTTTCTCTTTTGTATTTACTTTGCATAACATTGGAAGTGCACTTTTTTTATTGAACTGCTTGCACGCATTAATTTAAGAGTTAAGATTATTTTACGTACATATATTTGTTTGTATGTTTTGTGTTGTGTATTCAATATTGAACATAGTCCCAATGTGAATGTTATTTCATTTGCATGCTTTGTAAGCAACGCGGTGCAGTTTTTATTCTGAACCTTAGTATATTTCAAGAGGAATGTGTTTTCTCTTTTATTAATTATAAGTAATGTTGGGTGTAACTAACACATGTGTGATTTTGTTTGTATTCTACGTTTTGTGTTTATGTTAATCTGTTTGGAAAAGCTATTATAAAAAATGTTAAGTAGCAATATAGCGAGATTATTTACCTAATAAAAAAAAATCTAAAAAGGAAGCTTTGTTAAGGTGTTCAGTGAACACTCTGAACCATTCGACGCCTCGCCTCTGCCTACAATAAATATATAATAAATCATATATTATAAATTAATTATAATTGTTTAAATAATAAAAACAAAAATAAAATATAATTTAATCGGACTTATTTAACACTCAAATTGTTTATAAGTAACACTTATTAATTTTTATTAAAATTTTTAATATATTTTAAAAAAAAATTATGTAAAATTTAAATACACTGAAATGTTGGTTTAACAATCACTTATTAAAAAAAAAAATAATTAAAAATAAGAGAAAACTAGTTAACAATAAAATAAAAATATATATAAAAAAAAACAAATAAAAATAATTAAAAAAAAACAAATACAAATAAATATAATGTATTGCTTTAATGACCAAATCTTCAGGGTGTATCCTGAAGAGTAACTATAGAATATATTCGATATATTGATTCAAATAACATCTTTGAAAAAACAAAAATATTTATTAAATAGTGTATTATTTAACAATTGACCAATTAGCCCATTTAAAAAACAAAATTATTATTAATACAAACACTAAAAAAAAAATAATTCAAATAAAATAAAAATAATTAAAAAAATAATAAAAATTATTAAAAAAATAAAAATAATTTCAAAGATATAAAAATATAAAAATAATTCAAAATAAAGTAAAGAAATTAAAAAATCATAAAAACATTTAAAAAAAATTTTATTAATTAGAAATTAAAACTAATTAAAATAAAGTAAAAATAATTGAAAAAAAATAAAATTAATCAAAAAACAAATAAACAAAGTTTTAAAAATATAAAAATAATAATTCAAATAAATAATAAATAAATATAAAAAATTAATATTAATTTAAAAATAATTAGAAAGAAATAAAAAGTATTAAACAATAATGAAAATATATTATATAATATATTATATATATATATATTATATAAACTATAAACTAATTAAATAAAATTCGATTATTTCCAAAGACCACTGATGAAGAGTACTTGGCAATACTCGAAACAGCGTTGTATGGTCAGCCAAATTTCAATAAATTAAATAAAAATATTTTTGTCTTTGTCCTTTCTTTGCTATTCGAAATCGGTCTAACTTTTAAATAGTTTCTTTCGTCATAAAAAGACACGCCATTATCGGCAAGAAAAAATTTACCTTAATAATGAAAATAGTTTTAAAAAAATAAAAATAATTAAACATGAATAAAAATAAAAAAACGAATAAAAAAATATTTTAAGAATATCAAAATAATTAAAAAAAATAAAAATAATGAAAAATAAATAAAAATAATTAAAGAAAAAATGAAAATAATTAAAAAAATTTGAAATTTATTTAAATAAAATTAATCATTAAAATAAATTATTATTAAAATAAAATTAAAATTAATCTAAATTTCAAAATATTAAAGACCTTAAAAAAATTTTAATTAAATATTCTTGCGAACCTCTAAGAAAATGTAATAGAGTACCATCCTAAATGTATGTACATTACCTTAAAATATGATCCGGTATCGAAGCAACATTTGTACTATTGCAAAGAGAGAGAGGAGTAGAGTTAATGAACAGCACTGGTGCTTTGGCCGTACGTAGGGCAGTTACCATGCCAGCTTCAGATAATTGTGAAATTTCCACAAGCATTCCCAGGCGATTCATTTCATAAAGTACCATCTAAAAAGGAAAAAAAAGAGATTATTAGGTTTATAATCTAAACAAATCCCCTAATAACTCCCCATCAAATTAAACTTACCTTGCCAAATTCATTCAACGAATTCGTTGCATTTTCTTCCATTAAAAAATCTCGAGTTTTTATGGCTGCTGCAGCCCAAGGAGTGGTGCACTCTAAACTAGTTATCGAAACAAAACGTACACCTAAAAGATACATGGAGCGCAGTACAGCTAAGCTAGCACCCAAAGCATGACCACCGCCTATACCCATCAGCACAGCAACATCACCTCTAATGTGAATTTGTTCCATTTCATCAGCAGATTCCGCTATATGCATGGAATCAGTATGTGCTGTCATGCGTTTGGCCTCGTCAATTCCTTCCAGTGCCAGCTGTACTGCATCCAAATACTGCGCGCCACAGGGTACAGCAATTGGCCAAAGTAATGCACCAACGTTATTTTGGCGCGCCTCAAAAACACTAGCATTATAGTTATTATCCCGTTTCGTTGGCTTCCAAACACCTTCGATCAATGGTGTTTCAGTTAATAAACGTCGGATAAACGATAGCCTTGCCTCTAGCAACGACGAAGAGCGTAGCTGCAGTGCTAATGGTATACCACCAGCCATGGCAAAGCAAACAAGCACTAAACCTAATACGATAACGACTTTTCGACATCGGGACGTTGTGCGTGTATGGTCCACTAACATATCACCGCATTGTTCCTTACATGTGGTTATGCCACTGTTTTTGTATTTTTCGTTAGTTAACTTTGTTATTTCAGGAGGCAGTTCGATGTCCGCGATTTCTGTGAAAACGAAGCACTGTTGCTTTGCGTGGCATGCATGTTGCATAGCACGCACCTCCATGAAATCGGGATTTGGCACTGGGTTCATCGCACTTCCCCACCGGAAGTGGCACAAACAAACTAAAACTCAATTTTCACTACCACAAATTATTAGCAATTTTTTATTTACTAACAAGTAAACACTACTAATGTTTCCACTCGAGATATCCGAGCGTTATCGATTTTCGCTGACATTTGTATATCCTGGACATGCGCACTGCTAAGCGAAGTTGATGTTTTAGCAACCGGTGGTTAAAAAATAAAATAAAATTCCATTTTACTTAAAATTATATAATGTATGATGATTTTTATTACCATATTACCATAAAAATCATCATGATGAGCTCAATTCATTATTCTTTGGCCATCATCGAGAACTCCATGCATTGCGTCCCTACGTCTAACTAAGCATGTTAGAACTTTTCGGTAGCAGTTCGGATAATAATTGACACTAGCATTGGAGTGCATAGATAAGTGCAAAGAGCCATACAAATTGAACTTGAAAAGTTTGATTGCCAAATGCCACTTACTCACGGCTGACAGATTTCTGCGTTTGATTGCGACAATAAAAAATGCATTTCATTTTTCCTTTCATGTTTATTTGGTAGTAAAAAAAAATTACAATATCAGTGCCATGGGAAGGAATATTTAATAAACTTACTACTCGTAGTCATCATCGTCGTCATTGTCATCAGCATCAGCATCGTCATCGTCAGCAGGATTATTGTCAGTATTATCAACGGCATTACTATCATCGTTACCATCATCGTTGTTAGCACTGTTATAGTCGTCATATTGCATATGTTCCATGCTTTGCTCATCCGTCGCCATTTCTTGTTGTAAATCTTCTTCTTCTTCTTCTTCTGCTTGCGTGGTACTATGTGCCTCCTCAACTATTTGCGCTGCTGACTTCTCCATTTCCAATTCAGCTACTTGTTTCTGCAACTGTTCCAGATAAGTTCGCGCCTTCTGTACTTTTTCCTCGAAGTCCGCGCAGTGCTGTTCAATCTCGTAATTCTTAGACACCAGCAATACCCAATTGGCTTCTAGGTTTCGCAGTTTCTCACCAGCGCTTGTCTGTGCTAATTTGCGTTTCCAATTTATGTCTTGAATTTCCTTTTTAAGATATTGCAACTGTGCCTGCGCTTTTGCTTGTAGTGCTACGAATACCTCCAAGTAAGCTTTCCAAGACTCTATACCATAGTCTAACATAAGCTCAAGATTCATAGCGCGTACCCACTGATGTTCCAGCTGTGCCATCGAGTTCTCTATTGATTCTTGCCAAGCAGTCACCTCTGATAATTTTCCAGCTGCTGGTGGTGGCAGCTCATAGCGTTTCATGCTGAGTGTCTCCATCGGAAGCCGGTTTTGTATGCGCTCGAATTCTGTGCTCATCAATTTCGTTTCAAAAGCATTTGTACTCAACGCTGGTAAATGATCTAAGTAATTTTTTGTTGGTCTGTACCTTCGGCACTCCTCTTCCACCATAGCTAAGGCCTAAAATAAAATTATACTAATTTGTATCCAATATTGCTTAGTTTCCTGACTTACAGATTCCCGCACTCCCGTGTCATCATAACCATGATCTATATATGGCAAAGCATCCACAATAACCTCATTTGTCGTCATTTCGTTGTAGTTAGTATAAAATGTGTTATTTTAATTTATTGCTTAATATTTTAAAATAAATTTAAAGAATTTGACAACAGCGACAATAAAACAAATGATTGCACACAGGGAGTTTCTAGTATAAAATCTTTCTGCTTCATATGGTTACTTTTTAACATATTTGACAACACTAAAAACACTGAAAAAAATTATATTACTAAAAGTTGTTGATGCAATTTTCGATTAGTATATCTGGGTTTATATTTTTAGGACGTGTGCGAGTTAGGCTAAGGACGTGTGCGAGTTAGGCTAAGTTGCGTTCCTTAATAGAGATTTACTTTTTTGGCGTTTTTCAATTGCTAAATCGATTGGGTTAAGTTTTTCCATTGATATTTCGATTAGTAAATCTCGAAAAAAATGTATAAAACTTAAGATTGATTTATAACACTCTAGATATTTTGCCAGAGTAATTAGGATTACCCTGAACTTAACAGTTGTTTTATATGATTTAACACATAAAGTGTGCTTTGATTCAACATATGTATTTATAAAATTCTACCGTTTCAGAAAAATAAAAATTAGCTGGTGTTTTACCAAATACAAGAGCAATGATTATACTGGATACCTTGGTAATTCGTTAACTCCAGTTACGATATTTTTTTAGAAAAGTATATATATAAATAATTGTATAACTTAACCGAGCTAATATACATGTCTGAATATTTACACTGAATTTGATATTTGTAATCTGGTAAAAATTAATTGAAAAATATAAGTAAGGGAAAACAGATATTAAGTATATTAAGGCCGTTTGAAAGACCGTTGAAATTTCCTAGAGATTTTTTGCACTACACTTATGTAAATACTTATTTATATATTTATTGCACTTATTTATTATTTTTCGTTAAAAGTTTTCAAATTTATTTATTTATTTATTAAACATTTTATAAAATTTTAACAATTTACCCTTACCTAATTTGTATCTAATTTACCCTACACGAAATTCTGTTAAATACCAACATTTGCTGGCATACCGATATAATTTACTATTTACCTTAATTTACCATCAATTTATTCGAACTCGCACACAACCTAAATAAAAGTTAATAAATCATTTTTGTTGTTAAAAAATGATAACATAAATAACAAAGAATTATTTTGTCTTTGTTATATTCAAATAAGTAATATAATGCGAGTTAGGCTAAGTTGATGCTAAACCAAATGGGAGATTTTTTGAAATTTTTTGCACTGCACACTTTTAGCCATTTATCAACACGTATCGACACATCACTACATTATCGGCACAACTTAGAATTTCTCTCATTTAGAACGCAACTTAGCCTAACTCGCACACGTCCTTAGTAAACTTGTATTAAAAAATTCATTTAGAAATTACTGATGCTTTCTGGTCCTTCTTGTTTTACTGATTTTGCGTTCCTGTACATTGTTTAATATTACATAAAAGAAGAGTACGAATTATTATTTATAATGGCTCGGTAATAATTGACTAAATTAATGATAATATTAAGTTGGCATTATACAAAAGCGAATACCACAAATCGTGAAGGGACTTATTTATTACAAATTCAACAAAAAAATAATTGACGTGAATGCAACTCTGCACAATTGAAGAATTAATAATTATTATGGCGCGGCAACCCTTACATTTATTTTTGTAAACAAATACTGCACGTGCGAATAAGAACGTAAAGTAATTTTTAAATAACATTTGAACAAGATATATATCACAAAGAATGCCTGAAATTGAGGGATATAAAGGTAATATTTTTGATATAATTTTTTACATAAATTTATACATATATTTTAACTTTAGTGTCACTTCTGAAGTTGACGCCTGATACAAAAATTGGGCATCACATTTATATGCGAGAGCACTTTATACGTCTCATGGATCCTAACAAACCCAGAGGTCGTACATTATTTTTACTCAACATACCACCTTATGTTACGGAAAAGAGTTTAATGGAATTTTTCAAACGATTTGGTGAAGTTATAATGGTTTCATTTGCCGAAAAACCGGGTCGGGATGAAACCCAAAAATGGCAGGAATACACGACACCATTTACAAACAATGAACCGCCATTTAAATTTAAAGTAGCCTATGTAGTATTTAAGGAAAGTAAAAGTGTACCACGTGCACTCTTAGCAAAAAGCATTGACTTGTTTAGCGAAACAACAGGCGAGTCTTTGATCGAAACTGGATTACAGCTGTGGCATTCCCAGCATGAAAAAAAGATTCTAAATGTAGAAGAAACGCAAATAGAAATTGATAAATACATGGTCGATTATGAACAGCGCGAAAAAGTTGCTAATGAGGCAGCAAAAACTTCTGCAGCAGATGCTGACGGTTGGGTCACAGTTGGCAAGCAGGGTCGTAATGCTGGATTTGAGCAAAAAGAATCAGTTATCGATCGAATTGAACAAAAAGTGGCCAAGGACAAGAAAAATAAAGAGCTCACTAATTTCTATACATTCCAAATACGTGAATCCAAGATGAAAAATATAGTTAACCTGCGCAAAAAGTTTGAAGAAGACAAACAAAAGATAGAATTACTTAAGAAGTCGCGACGTTTCAGACCCTTCTAATTTATCAAAGAGACATTAAACACGCAAGATTGGTTTAAAGGAAATATATTAATGAAATATTATATATATAATATATAATTCTGTACAATGATGTATCATGTTTACTACTATAGTAATTAATATATATTGATTTAAATATATAATATAATTTATATGATTAACTTAAATGGAAGTAATTATACTTAAATTTTAATTTTGTGCATTTTAATAACAGTGGAGAGAAATTCATTATGTGGTAGCGTTTGCAGAGAGCACAATAGTTGAGGTATGTTTCCATAAATCGCTTGTGAATTGATTGCTGTGTGCACAGCCTGTGATAAACGTTCAATGCAAGTCTGAAAGGCGGGATCATCATTTGATGCTGGAACTGAACGTGACGCATGCAGAAGCAACGAATTAATTACAATTTGCATATGTTGAGCATCAATTGCAGCCGATTGGTTAGAACCCTTATTATTTATAATAGATTGTATTAAATATAGATGCAGCTTTTTATATGTGACTTTGTCTGTTACCAGAGGTGCTAAAATTGTCCAACGTAACAGTCCAGATATAGACGTTACTACTGGCATAGCAATAGCACCTTGAGGCAAAGCAATCGGTTCATAACATGCATAACATAGATTAGGATTTTCTGAAATCCAATTTGCGATAACATCCAAAAGTCTCTCAGGTGGTGCAACCAGTGCACCATGTTGATCATTGAAATAAAGTTCTGCTACCGCTGTCATAAAATTAGCAGCAAAATGCGACACGGTTATAGGCAAATCTCTAAATTTATCTGACATTTTAAACGAAAGTTGGACGAAATCTTCAATCAATTTTTCAGCTACTTGTAAACTTGGCCTTGTTGTGCATCCCACCTGTTGCATCCATACACCAGTAGCATCTAAAACGGCTGTTGATTGAAAACATACTGCCGAACTGACAAGTCGGCACAATATATCCGCACGCTTTTTGTTTGTTAAATTACTGCCAAACAATGATAAAAATACTGCGTTGCGAGTAACGTCTTGAGTTCCTGGCAAATTGAAGTGCTCTATGATTGCAACTATTAGCTGGAACTCCTGTATTAGAGTCAACTGCGATTCGAATGTTTGCAATTGCTGCCTACTACGTGAATCCTCTTTGGATTTTTCCAGAAAAACAAACTCCGATATTAATTGCATAGCAAAAGATTGTTTGGTGCGATTTGTTATGATGCCGTCTACGAAAAAATATAAATAATTAATATTTTGCTTCAAATGAATAGTTATTATAACGCTTACCAAGACGTTGAATAACTTCTCTTGCGCATTGAGGAAATTTTAGTTTTCTTAAATAGGATTTTAAATCGGCTTGAGACATGTTCGCGGAATAACAAACTATGTTGACAAACTACCTGTAATAACTGAAGCACTTTTTGACAGCAAGGCCCTATTTAATCAGAGAAACACACAGGGTTGCGTGTTGTTACGATTAAATTGTAAAAAGGTACTACAAACATAGATGTCACACATTACAGGTAGTAATGTGGCAGTTCTACACTCAATCAATTTACATAAAGCGTTTGCGATGCCTGGCAAATATGACAAAAAACAGCAAGCTGCTGGTCTATACTGGCTGAAATGTATGCAAAACAACAACAACACTATTTTCTCTACCTAGGTCAGTAGTTGTAACACTTCGGCCAATAATGAAAAAAGTGTTACCAACGCAATAAGCGAAGTGTTTTGAACCTTCATTGGAAGTTCCAACGAATATTGCAATAATATGCTAAAAATCATATCTAATCAAAAATTTCATAAATTTGAAAATTGGGAAAATTTCAGTGTTTTTTTTTTTTCCTTTAAATTCTGTTTTCATTTTAATTTTCAATTTCATATTAAGTATTGTATATATTATATTAAGCTTGTATTATGCGCACATATGCAAGATTTGCTTTGTCAAAATATAACAATTGACAGATTGCAACAGTGATGCCTATTCTCGCTTAGTGATTATAAGCCAGCATGCATTTTTTGCCACATTTGTGAGCCACCAAAAACGCATATTAATAATTATTATTAGGTATATTCTATTTACTTAAATGCTTTAATAGAACATATATAGCTTAAAAATTAACATGCAACGTAAAAACTAAATTCGCTAAAATAATTTATTTCTGAACCACACTGCTTCACTAAGTGACGAGACACAGATAGTCTCGTCTGTACAGAACAAATTTGAACCGACATTTTGTTTTTTCTCCGACATTTTATTTTTGACGAGTCATGACTTTCCGCATAATATGGATACGTACAATATCGACACGATACGTACAATATCGTAATTGGGTGAGGACCATTAGTACTAGGATTTCATTTTTAGTTTTTTGAAAAAAATTTGATACATACTTGTTAAAATTTTATTTATAATTGCTTTTATCGTGAACTGCAACATTTATTTAGCCAAAGAATAATGTGCAAAACTAATATGGCGTTTACACTGGTCGCAAATGACTCATTTTAAAATCGCCATTTGAAAGTGTTTACAACCATTTTTATTTATTTCATTTCAAATAGCTGATTTGTCAACGTGCCTGTTAATTTGAAAATATTTGTTTACCTTTCTGTGTAAATATGTCAAAAACAGCCTTCTTAAATTGTCAAAATGCCATGAAAAACTTTTATTTAGGGTTTGTTCAATACATTCATTTGCATCTGGAACTCATTTATACAAAACGAAATCCATTGCGCGAGTGTGGATCTTATTTGCGCATATGAATTTTTGTTTGCAGAAATCAATCATTCGCATTTGTGATTTTTGACCCAAATCAGTCATTGGAGGGAGGTCAGTGTAAATGCCGTATAAGGTTGGTTTTTAACAGTTCACTTCATTTTTGCCGTTACGTGCGTGCAATAATAACAAAATAATAACGCTTTGGTGTGAATGCACTTTAAGGTGCTTGTTTCTACTGTAGTGACAGTCACCAGTTCTTGCTTTCAATGTAAAATAAAAAATTAACATACCCATAACATAATACCCAGTCATGGTGACTTGACTCTACAGGCCGTAACATTTTATCGTCATAATGAATTTGCCGCTATATCAAAATTGTTAATTTTGAGTTTAAGTAGACTAGATGCAATTTCAATAAAATAAAAAAATTAATGATATCTCGAAATGCGACATCTACAACATTATCGATTATTATTCAACAATCATATGACGAAATTTATCGAATTAATGCCATCATTATTGATTCTGAACAAAAAATGTTGTCAAAACCGTTTAAGCGGTTAAGAGCGTCAGGTGTGTTTTTGGCACATTGGCTTTAAACAATATGAAAATGGATTTGAATTCTGTTAAAATTACTGAAGCGATCGGATTTCGTAGTTTGGTGACAACATTCGAAGTGAGTAAAATGAAAATTTATGAAAAACGAATAAAATAATGAAGTACATATGCCCCCAAAAGAAAGCTTTAGAGATCGGGTTGCAGAAAAAAGATGTAAGAATATTAAAGCGCGTATACGATGCGTTTGAGTCTACCACAAATCATGATAAAAAATCTCCTATGGATGAGGCATTCCGTGAGTTCATGCTATACAAACTAATGGATAATGTGGAGAAGATTGGTGCATTGGTGCGGCTTTCTGTAGATGCAGTACGAGAGGAGATCGCATCAGTAACAATCCCAGTCGTTTTGCTAGCTGATGTGTTCGATGTGGTCACGCTGGACAAATGTGAGCTTATATTTAATTTCGTTGAAGAAATGTTAGATATATGGAAAGAGGAAATATTTTTTACATCCTGTAAAAATAATATACTTCGCATGTGCAATGACTTGCTGAGGCGTTTGTCGCGTTCACAGAATACAGTCTTTTGTGGACGTATTTTACTTTTCCTATCAAAGTTCTTTCCGCTCTCAGAACGTTCGGGACTCAATATTGTCTCGGAATTTAATTTAGAAAATGTTACAGAGTATGGTACTGACGATAAGTCTTTGGATGACGGCTTAGAAAACACAGTTGACGATATTCCAATAAAGGTTGATTACAATTTATATTGTAAGTTTTGGTCATTACAAGATTTTTTCCGAAACCCGGTGCAATGCTATAGCAAAACTCAATGGAAAATGTTTCAATCGGTAAATAGATCTTATACGTTCTTTGGATTATTTATTAATTTTTTGTATTCTGTTAGCATACAAATACTGTTTTGGATGCCTTTGATGGCTTCAAACTTGATTGTGGACTAAAAAGGAGGAAAACTGACACTGAAAAAAAGGTAGATGACAAAGCACAGTCAACATCAAAATCAACTATGAAAAATAACAGGCAGGATGAGGACAATGAAAATATTTTTAAATCGGATATATTCTTTGCAAAATATCTAACAAATCCAAAACTTTTAGCACTGCAGTTGTCCGATTCGAAGTTTCGGCGCGCAACTCTAGTGCAATTTCTCATTCTTTTCCAATATCTGCAGTCAAAAGTGAAATTTAAGACGTAAGGATTTTTACTATATTTGTTATATTTATATTTAATAAATTATAATACAAATTATTTAATTATTTTATATTTAGTATTGATATAAATTAAAACGTTTCTTTTAGAGATTCAAGTGTTTTGACATCATCGCAGGAGTTATACATAGAGACTACTCAGACTAGGGTATATAAGCTGATAGAAGAAACTCCACCAAATGGTAACCAGTTCTTGCGAACTGTCCAACACATTCTAAATCGAGAAGAGATATGGAATAAGTGGAAAAATGAAGGTTGTAAGGAAATTAGAAAACCTGACGACGTTCAAAATAACACAAAAGGAAAGGAGGAACCTCAAGAAGACAACGCCACAACAAGTGGTAGTGGTGCAGTAGTTAATGACAGTAATGTGAAAGAAGAATCTAGCGATGAATCATTTATTAAACAGATTCAACCACACACAAGGAAAAGGCTCTTGGGCGATATACTTAGGGAAAGTTATAACTCAAATAGATACTATTTAGGCCAGTAAGTTTAAAACAAATTCGTGATACAAATTTTTATAATTATTTTGTGCAAAACTTTTTTTTCAGTCCATTACTAACTGAACTCTGGAATTTAGCACCGGATAATCTATCAGCATGTAAAAGTGAAGATCGTAATTTCTTACCTGAATTCGAAGTATATCTCAATAACAAAAACGATAGAAGTGACTCTTCATCATGGCGAGCATTGCGTTTGTTGGCAAGACAATCTCCACACTTTTTCACCACATTTAATTCGTCATCAAGTTATAAAATACCGGATTACTTGGAGAATATGCGCCGCAGAATTATTAGGGAAAAGTTAGAAAATGCCAAACCAGCCACAAGTGCAACAGTAACCAATGGTCAAGTCAGCAGCAACGGATCAACTCTTGAAAATGAAACTATGACACTAACTGACGCTGAACAAGAAGCTGAGCCTGAGTTAGGCGCTGATGAAGATATTGAAAAAAACGAAGACGATAGAAATGCCCATTCGAAACCTCTTGTGGCCACACACGAACAAATCGAAGAGATTGCTCCACTTATTGGCGATGATTGGAAGAAGTTAGGTAAGAAACTAGGTTACACTCCAGACGAGTTGGAATTTTTCGAAACAGAACACACTGAACCTAATACTGCCTGTGTTACAATGTTGGTTAATTGGTTTGCGGATGATGACGATGCCACACTTGACAATTGGGCTTACATGATGGAAGGCCTAGAAATCAATGAAGCTGCGACAGCTGTCAAGGCAATGATCGAACGTTTATCGACAAAAAGTAGTAAAACAGACGTAGAAGTAATTTCGGACTAACAATTCAACGCAGCACAACGCAACACAACACAACACAACAACAAAAACGCAAATGATCTGTTAAAAAAAATTTTAATAAACACGTAAAATTTAAATTCTGTTATTTCAGTTATTTTTCTTTAAATAATAAATTTTATCACAAATAGAATTTGATTCGTAGTAAATAAAAACCGTAGTAGATAAATGGTTATCTGAGATTTCATCGTTTTTCATTTCAACTAAGCATGCTGTTGGTAATTGGATTAAGGCCACTTCGTTACATGAGATAATAATGCGTTGTTTTATTTTTAAGCAATTTTAATTTATCATTTATCTTTTCTTCATTGCACCAGGCTTTGGCTTATTATGCAACATGTTCGCGCATTTTGGTATGTGACGCTCTGCTGCAGCTTCGTTGAAACGTCTGTTACAATGTGGACATTGTATATAATCCGGGTTCTCCGATGGAGGTGGTGGTGGTAAGTCACTCAGCTTTCCGCCTTTAGCTAAATGTACCTGCAATTGTTTTGCCGCACGTATAGCTGCTATGAACTCTTCATGTTTCTGACGCCAATTGTTTTTCTTAGAGGTGGTAGCATTGGTTGACGTGGAAGCAGCAACACTGGGCTTTGCCATTGTTGTGGGTTTTGTTGTATGACTCGTTTTCGTTGCTTTCTTCACAAATTGTTCCGCCTCGGTACCTTGTACTCGGTGTTTTGATACATCGAAAATTTTCCTCTTCTTCTTAGCCATTTTTTGACAAATTTGTTCATGCTTTGCAAGCCTATCTTCATTGAAATTCCGATTACAAAAATTGCATGTAGCCATACCTGGAGGTGGAGTAACTATACGCGGAGGTGGCTTTATGCTCTGAAAATATACAGAGAAAAATAACGTTAAATCTTCGAGTATTAGAAGTAAGTCTTTGGTTTCAAATAGTGGTTAGATCTATATTTAATATTAGAAATAAGTCTTTCGGTTCCAAATAGCGGTTAGATCTACATCTCGTATAACAAGAAAATCTTCCTTTTGAGATAACGATTTGGTTTACATCATGTTTAACAAGCACATCTACGTTTCCAAAAACGCGTAGATCTTTGCTCCGAACTAAGAGCAAATTTTCCGTTCAAGATAGCATTAAGGTCTGTGTCTTGTATTAGAAGCAAATAATTGTTTTCAGACAGTGTTCAGGTCTACATTTCATATTGGAAAGCAAGTCTTTAGTTCCCGATCTTTTATAGTCTTACGTCAAAAATTAAAAAAAAAAAAATGCGGCTCATAAAATAGATATCCTACGTTCTAGATTAGGAGTAAGTCTACGTTTACTGATATCGGTCTACATTTAAGATTAGAAGTAAATCTTAGGTTCGAAATAGCAAATAGATCTACATCCCATATTAGGTAGTATTAGGTGGTTTTAGATTAATCTACGGTTTCACAAACACAGTTTCTTCTGTTCTAGATAGCGGTTATGTAGACGTTTTATTTTAGATATAAGTTTCAGACACAGGTTGAATATACGTGATGGTTTATAAGTTTTTAGTTCCAGATGTCGATTAGAAGTGCGTGACGGATTAAAGCTAAATTTTTGGTTCGAGATAATGTTTCAATCTACATTTTGTAATAGAAAATAAAACTTTTATTCTGACCAGCTCTATATGCCAAAACTGTGCGTTAATCTTAATTATTAAATGTCATTGAATAAAAGCAAAAGAAGCACATTGTGTAAAGAACGGTGGAGCGTCAGGATAATAACATCATCAGCACAAGTCCGTGTTTGCATGGCCAACCTATATCATTTCAAACATTAATGTGAAAAATTCTGTAAGTTTCTTCTTCAGGTCTGATAGCAGCATGCATCACTGGCTTTATGAGAATTTGTCGTAGTACGATTTGGAAACGATACTGTATCTGAAAACCTTTCTTTAGGTAGAAATATGTACTTGATGAGGCATCTAAATAAGAGAATTGTGGTAGTTTTTGTTGTTTCAAATACCGGATGCATTTACAAGTATGGAATAAGTAAACGAAATAAAAAATTAAAGCATGGTAATGCCAGTATATAAAAGCAAACATTCACAATTTCAACCATTTAAAAATCTGCAAGGTGTCTCATATTAGTAGTTAAGACCCTCTCTATTTACTACTAATTCTCTAGTGATTATCTATTTTACTATACTATACTGTTCATATTAACTTATATACATATTTTAAAAAAGTATTAGTTGTCAACATTAAAAACTGGAAATATTTAATTTAACTCACCATAGAGTTAGTGGGTACTTTAGCAACGGTTTTCTTGATAGGACTCTGAAAAAAAAACAAAATACTTGTAATATATAATCCAACCATTAGTTTGTACCTTAACTTACTTTATTCGTGGAATTAACATTTGAAGTTGGCGGCTTACTTCCAATAGACCTGTTGACGCCATTTGGACTGAGTGTTGAACGCACCGTTGTTTTATTAACTGAAATGACTGGTGACTTTTTCGTTACAACTGGATTCAATTTAATGCTATTCGACGAACTAAGACGTGATGTGGTATTGCTATCATTGTTGTTACTATCAGAATTGTTATTATCCTTTAAACTTAAAGAAGAAAATCCTTTTGGAAATGTTGTATTATCTAAAAAGTCAGTTTCGTCTGTGTTATTATTTCCATTTGATCGCTGTATTCCGTTAGTGCCACGCGCTCCAGGTGTGTTTCGAATAGTGTTGATTGGTTGACGTACATTTGCTGGGGGTTTCGGTTTCGGTTGATTTGGTTTATTACGCAATGTTGTGGTAGTTATAGTGGAATTTGTTACATTTGCTGAACCATTCGGAGTGCTTCCCACATTCTTCGATTGATTTGTGCTTTTTGTTGATGAACCTGAGATGGGTTTCAAAGGATTGCTTCTGTCTATGCCAGCACCACGACGTCTTTCATCGAACATTTGTCTAACCTGAAATTCAAAAATAATTTTTAAATAAATTTATAAAATATGTCAGTTTTTTTTGTTTGATATATATATTTGTTGTTAGTATACGTATTTATTGTTTAATATATATATTTATTGCTAATATATAGTTATTGTTAATTTTGCTTATATGTTTATTTTTAATGTTTAATTGTTATAGCATATGTGTATGTAATGTTATTATAAAAAGGTATTTTTTATTACTCCATTATTAATGAAAATGAATCAGTAAAATCAATTAGTTAAATGTATCGAATTATTTTATAATTAAATTTGATTAAAGTAAATTAAATAATTGGTTAATTTAATTTAATTTTATTTATCTGTAAATAACTAACTGTGGTTAGTTTGAGTACCAGTTATATGTGAGACTTAACCTTTCTTTCTAATAAATCATCCATTATATTCTAGTCTCTCCGAGCTCTATTGACTATGTACTTCTAACACATTTAGTTAATTAAAATGTCATTAACGTTAATAAATATACACACCTTTCCAGCGCCGACTGATTTGTCATTGGCAGCCTGACTTCCAACTCCAACCATCTCCATGCGACGTTGTTCACGCTCCTGTAACTGCTTTTGTTGAAATCTCATCTAAAATTTCAGATATTAAATTCTAAATTATTAATATTGAAAAGTCATTTAAATATTATGTGTGCCTAAAGTTTGTTTTTACTTTTGGCTAAAGCACGAAATTTGTGTCAATAATTTGGGGAATTTAAAAATCGATTTCATATGTCACATGCACAAACATAATTAGTATAATTATTTATAGATACTCTATTATTGAAATTATTTTTCACTGAACTTACGTCAAGCGATTTGCCTAGTGGCAAATGGCTCAGTGCTTCTACAAGCCTGCGGCCCGCCCAAGACTCATTGAGCTTAAGCGGCACCAATTGATCATGTAAGGTTTGAAAATTTTGGTCAGCACTTTTATGAAAATTATTCATTTTATTTTAAAGTTAAATTTATATTGTTGTCTTTTTATAACCTCAGTACAGTTCAAAATATTCCCGCTTTTTCTCCAACACGTACGAATCCATACTAAACACATTAATAGAGGATATCAACCACCGTAGACTGCCCTAGACAACTATTTTACTATTTTACATTATCCCATGAGCATGCATTTGTGGTAATTAAAGTTAAAAACAACAACAACAACGACAACAACTAGAGTCGATGCATAAATTATTGCCGGAATACGATACAAACACATATGAACGATTTGTTGTGGACAACATATGTGCCACTCTCAGAGCAAGAACTCCCCGCTCCTTCGAAGTCCCAAAAAAAATAATGAAGGCCAAATTATTTGTCTTGACTTTCCATTACCTTCCTTTAATACACGGAATACTTAACAGAATTCTTTAGTCTTACTTTCAAAATAAAATTCACTTCGAGAAAGCACTTCGCTATATGGTATCTCGTACGAGTATCTGAAGAGTTATGTATGTTTTGTATGTGTATCTAATTTGTTATAAAAGTGATTGGTTCAGTGCTTAGTCATGGGGCAGGTAGATTATAAACAATGCAAAAACCGCAACGTTGCCATGACGAACCCACGCTTCACTACACAATAAAATAAACAAATCGTTAGACAGACAATCTCAGAGTGGCAGTGGCGCAGTGAAGCTTACACAGTCAGTGGTTGGGACTGTCGAACGAGCGGTCAAACCGTTGATGGATTGTCATTTGGGGCCGCCACAACGCATGCCCCTGGTTATACGTTTCATAGTAATTTCATTATTTTCATTCACTTTCGTGTGGTTACTTACCGCCATTCCACCCTTCTGTTGAAAAAATAGTTTTACTTTCCTGCTTAAACTCACTTAGCCCTTGAAAGTAAAATTACACGAATTAGTGAAGTTAATAAGTCTTGTACTGTACGACTGACTGCATGCCAAAATGACTTAATAACGTTAATGAAGCAATTTCGTTGAAATCATCTACTTTTTTTTCTTTTAAATTTTAAAACTTACAACTAAAATTTTGAATCTAACTGAAATAAATCATTTTTATTTAATAAGTAAATTTTCACAAAATATTTATTTTGTTATGTCAAATTCATTATAGAAAAAAATAATGTCATTAATTCGGGTAACTGAGATAATTTCTCTTTTTAGTACTAATAAGAGGAGAGTGAGGCCGTAGAGGCAGTCATAAAAAAGTAGTTTTAAGTTAACTTTAATATGCAAATAATTGCTTCACGTATATAATCTTCACATACATAACCTTTACATAGATAATTATCTCAGGTTAAAGTTATGAGTTTAGCTGAGTTAGATAAGCTTTAGCTCCTACGTTCTAAAATTCTTTATCTCAACTCTGAAATGAATTTTCCTTATTACACTCCGGGTCCGTGGCGGATATCTTTTTTATTTATTTCTAAGAGATGATTTTAGTGGATTAAAGTCTAACACTGTGGCGCTGAGTTGGAAAATACATTTAGATAAAAGGCTTATCGCCTTTTATAGAAAATGTACTTAGATAGAACACCACATTATGGCAACATAAAAATCTATCTATCTGGAATGGATTGAGAAATAGAGGTTTTGAGAAAGGTCAAGAATTTACTTAAAAGTAACAAATACGAATACGAATATTAAAAAAATCCCTTCTCATATAAGTAATTCGCTGACAGGTGAGAGCGTGACAATTCCAGTCACGCTCAAATCTTTCTAATATCAATATAGATTGAAGAAACGTTAAGTTTAATATATCGTAATTTAAGTTAAAAAACGTTATTTTTCTTAGTAATATTTCTTTACCCATACGATCTTCTACTAAACCCATGACTATAACTTCTGTAAGTCCATAGACTATATCGTTGCTCATACACAGACCAGAAGAGACATAAAAAGTGCCACAGTTGTCAGCGTACATATAACACTGAAAGGCACGACTCTTTCATTTAAGTGAAACTGAACCAACCCGAAAAAAAGGGTGCCTGAAATTTTGAACAAACACATGAGGTAGAGTACAGTTCCTCATAATTGGTAGAACCGTAACCTCGACAAAAGTCGTGACACTTAAAGTCAAGTTTCATAGCATCTCTTTCTAGTACATAGCAACCTATCAGCATCCAAACCGTAGTTGTATCTGTACAGTTTAAGGTTTAGTTGAAGAAGCTGAGTGGTACTTTTCTTATCCAATTTGGACCAGGTCGATCTTAAGATCTAACAGGAATTTTCATAACTCACTAATACCATATTTAAACTAAGTCAACAAATATGTCGAGATAATAGTCTCAGTATTGCGCATTACAAGTAAGGTTTATAAGACAAACTGTTTATGTGACGTTACAGCACTTTTAAAAAATACTATAAAATAGCTTGAATAGCATAGTTGGGTATATTGGGGTTCTTTAGATATTCCCACAGTTTTTTTTATGAAATGCACCTTTGCTATGCTATTTTCTTTAAAACTGCTAACAATGTCTTTGCATTCAAGATCCCGAATAAGAGAAATTTTGAATTCTTTTGACATTTCGTATAAGCCCACAGTGCACTGAATTTTAATTCAATGTATTTTTTAAAGGTTTTGAAATCATATTATAGTGATAAAGTTGGTCAAGTTAAATAATTTATCAAAAACATGAAATTTTCCCCAACAAGGCTTATATGACACACTTGAAATTATCTAGCAGAACTATTGAACAGTAATCCCACTATCTATTTGCGCGAATGGTCTTATAAGATAATTTATTATTTGTTACGTATATAGAAAACTTCTAAAAAAAATTTTTTTCTGCATATATGTATTTTAATGTACACTGAACTGAACAGAAATGATATTAAAATTTTCCTAATGTATCTAATAGAACATTCGAGGCTTGAATAATAGAGACCAATAATAGAGAGAATAATATCTGCCACTTCTTTAAAGTGTGTTCTAAAACGTCTGCTCACATTTTTTGTGAATGCTCAAACCTAAGGGACAGCAAAGTTATCCATCTTGGGAAAAAACTCGACGCACAAAACAGAAGCTTTAAAAGAAACAATAACCATTTGGGAAGCTAACGTTCATTAAAATCTTAAATATCAGTTAAAACCACTTGGGTTAGCACAATAGATCACGTGAAAAGCGATGTGTACAATACACATTTATTTATAATATGTAATAATAAGCGCTGGCAATCATATCTAAAAATTTTTTTAAAACGTAAATTTATTTTTTAAATTTGTTCATATATTTTTAATAATAAATCTTCGTCATTATTTATTAAAGTAATTAAGTCATATATTAAACATGTCACACCGTATAAGGAGTGCCCTATTAATTTGAATTGATATCAATTACGATATGAATTAAGTAAGCCCCTACACTTTATACACACATGCAGTTAGTACATTACTTATTTATAATATATATATACCATATATATATAGAATGCGTACAATGGAAAGTTCTCAATTAAACATACTAGACACCCCTTTGAACTACGATTGGATACAATAAAATCGCAGAGGAGCTTACAGAGGAGATAGGTTTTTTTCTTATTTTAGTATATTTCTACATATGTGTTTTTTAAACTTATATTTGTTAAAAACTAAATAATTTAGAAAACTTAACGAGTCTCAAAACCAAAGAGGTTAACTTTTATGTGTCTCTAGAGAATAGCATCAAAAATATATAATAAAGAATTAAGAATATATAAAATTAAAAACATGAAGTTAAAAAAAATTTGATGGATTCCGATTTTCCTGGCATCACAGTTTGACAATTTTAATATTCTGAGCAGATTTTACCGTTATGCTATATATTTATTTTAGTTTAGTTCTCGATATATTGGATTATAAATTTGCACCTTTCATTCCTTGATTAACACAAGGAACCATTAATTGTGCCCAAATGGGTTTTGCTTCTTAATTCAAAACTCAAAACTTTGGTACATCCCAAATCCATACTTGTTTTCCAAAAGATTTCCTACTGTTTCACACATTTTTATGTACCCTTATCCTAATCGATGTATAAGTATTTAGAATTGCTTAAGTTTTAACTGATTTTATTTATCTGATATATAGATCTACACATAATCATAAAAGGAATAATCAAAAACTATTTATGTCAATTTAGTTAGGTTTTACTTATTTATAGCATAAATATTTATTATATTTGTTTATATATTATAAATTATTGAAAATATATAATTTTGTAAATTTAAATAATCTGTGCTAAATGGGATTTTGATTGGGAGGTCGCTACTCTTACTGATCCTAAGCTACATTATTGTTAGATTGATGAATATAGTATTATATATCATCATATATTAAAAATAACTTATTTCTACTGTGCGTTTAAGTTTCTAAACATTTTTATATTCATTTTTCCTGTGGTATTACAATAGTCCATTATTTGTGCTCAAATGGGTTTTGGTTTATAAGGTCGATAGTCTAATCTAACGCAACCTAAGCTACAGTGAATATTATTTTGGGGCATTTAGTATAATATATATTATTTGAGATAATATATATTGCAGTTTCTATTTGCATTATATTGTTTTATATATATACAAAAATATTACATAAGAATATTTGTAGTATATTCTTTGAAAATTCATTCAATGGAAACATAGTAATAATGGAAATATGCTTGATATGTTTTGCGAGAGAAAAAAATAATTACAAAATTTCAAAAAATAATATCATCCAGAAAATTTTTATTTCTCAGTAAAATTTAAAACTGAATTTAAATAAAGTATAAAAAATAAAAATTTTGCTGATATATTTGATAAAAAAAAATTTTTTTTTTAAAATTTAAATTTAACGGTTAATATTAATTCTTATATATAAATAATCTTAATTGTTTAAATAATTTCCTAACAAATTTCAAGTGTCTATCATTTATATAGCCTGAGATATGACCATTTGAAAATGTGTCTACAATACCAATTCTCGAAACCCCATATCTCTTGTAAAAAAAATTACAAGATTTTTTCCCGAGATACGGGTCTTCTTATTTTATGAAAGCTCATTAAAAAAATTTCATCCAAATCGGAGATGATTTGGTCTAAAAGGTGTCCGATTTGTTAAAGAATAACTCATATTCAATAGGAATACCAACTTTTGTTTCTATCTCAACAAGAAGTCCTCTTTCGATCCTTAAATAGATATTGTAAACAAAATAAATCTCTAACGTTCGTTACTCACCTGCATCATAGTCAACCTTGAGGTCGTAGAGACAGTGGCACCTTCTGACGCCATCGCCAAATAAGTAAGTGCTGAGTATTTTGTGCTACGTTTCTTCAGGTAATTATCCGAACGTCGTAGGTTGTGTGTTAGATGCGGTGAAGAGCGCGTGTTAGCTGAGAATTAACGACAACAACAGACAACAGTTGTAGTGACAACTTTGCACGGCGCAGCGCGGTGTGTGGGTTTTGGTTTTGGTTTTCTACTGGTGTATCGTTCGCTGATGATTTCAGACAAGTCAGTTAATGTTAAAAAATACAGAGAATAACAAAAACAAAAACAAAACCAACAACAACAAGAACCAAACAACAGATTTTTGCAAACACAGCTGAGTGACTTTTGTTTTTACTGTTGTTGTTGTGTTTGTTGTTGTTGTTGTTCTTTATATTGTTTTTGTTTGTTTGTTGTTATTGTTGTTGTTGTTGCTTATTCGTTATCGTTCCGCAAACGTGTGACTCACTTAGCAAAATTCTGGCAGACGCGCTCGTTGACTCAATGAAATTAATAAACTTGCAAATTCGCACTATTTGGACTTGAGAAACTTAAAAATTTTTTTTTTATTAAAAATTGGCTTTTACCAAAAAGGGTAAAAATTATGGCTTGTTTAGGAAGAAACGTTGAAGGCGATGTGGATTATTATCTGCGGAAATAAAAAAAAAAAAATAATTAAATTAAATTTTAAAAACGGTGTTTTTAAAATAAATTGTAAAATTTTTTTTTTTGTATTAAAAATGAAAATTAATTTTTTGAATTCTATTTTAAGCTGGGATTATGTAGGCTGGATGAGTGTGCCGTGTCGCCTTCCAGCCTGCAGCGCTGAATAAAGCGAATGTTGTAACGCCAACGCATTCGAGACACTTCCACAATTGTAATTGTTAATTGGTAACGTTACTGTTTTTTCTTTTTTATTATTATTATTGTTGTTAAATTATAAAAAACCTATTGGCATTGCAAATGCCAAATATGGCTAAGACAATGAGTGACAAAGTGTTTGAATACTTTTTACTTTTAGTACTGGCACTCGCAATCGCATGAAATAATTAATTAACAATTTTCGCTTTAGTTTTGCAATTTCGGTTGCACTCACTTCAAATGAATTAAGCAATTGAAATAAATTTATGAAATTTTCAAATTTCCTGCTTAACTGCTTCATTGCCTCAAGCGGCAAGCGGCGACGAAGAATTTCAAAATTAATCAAAAAAAAAAAAAAACGTAAATAAATATTAAGAAATACACATTAAAGTACTTGACTTCTTGTTAAGGCGAATGTTCTGTTTAAACTCAAACGAATTGAACGAATTGAAAATGAATCAAAACCAATTCTGGCAATTAAACATGATGATCACTTAAATTCCATATTCCATATTCCATCCATATTTCAAACTTCAATCTGCATACTTCGTTTTTTTTCTCCTCTTTGAAAACGTCAGCTCGCCTATCTGCATGTAGTGTTTGTATGTAGGTCGTTTGTGCACGCGCCTTTGTGTGTGTGTATGTATGTGTGAGTGTGATAATAAAAATAATTTGTTTATCAAGCGCCACCCTACGACATTTGCATACGACAGCAGCGAACGGCTGCGACCAACACGAAGACTAGACCATAGACCACAGACCACATTCACTTCGACGACTGCCGCCGCCTTCCAACAAATGTTACAATTCTCTGGTATGTAAGGCGAATGCCAACGTCCGAGTTTATTGACTTCTTTTGTTATTGCGTGTGTTTGTGTGTTCGTGTTTTGGAATTTCGTTAGCAGGACATCACGTACAAGAAAAGCAAAAAAAAAAAAATAATTCGCTGACTTAGCAGTTTAACACCCACCAAAATCAGCCAAGCTAAACAGGCACGATTTTAAATTGCCCAGATAACGAGTGTTAAAATCAGCAGGGAACGGCCGCAGCAGCACCAGCAGGAAGTGCTTGGTTTAGTTTTATATACAAATATTTCATGTTAAGATTTATTTAATATAAAATACTAACATTATTCCAAGAAAAACAACAACAAAAACATTTAACATTTGCAGTAAGCACATTTTTTAACTCATTCTTCCTCACCTTCTTTCAGTAAGTGTGTAGAAAAGAAATAAAAACCAAAAAAAAGCCGCGTAAATAACGCAATTATAAAAACAACAACAAAATTATACACAAACCACTTTTGATTCACCACCGCTTACTTAGAAGTTCGTGCGAAGACTACTGACCAAGTGTGTTGGAGCAAGTGGATAAACTGTGCTTTGCTCGTTCAGCTGTTTTGCAAAAAAACTTGTAACTTCAAACATCGTAGTGGAGAAACAACAAATTGCCATTGTTTTGTTTTTGTTGTTGTTATTATTATTGTTATTGTTGTTGGCATACGCTATCATTGCTCACGAGCAACTCGAGTGTATGAGTAACCCACAAAATTCGTCTTTCGTTCGTTGTTGTTGTATTAATAATCGCCTACAATAACAACAACAACAAGCCGTAAATATCATTTCAATATTATTTAATGCAAAGATGATACTCAGCACAATATAAGATGCTTGCTAATCGGAGATTGTTGGAGACAAAGACAAGCTCTTGTTTGAGAATTCTTTGAATTTGTTATTTGTTCACCCATTTGGAAATTTTTTAAATGCCGTTTATTAGGTTAAAATATTATTGAATATAAAATATTGAATAGCAAATATTTATTTACTCGTGTATAGAACAGAAATTTGTTTTTTTTACTAATAAAATTTTTTTGCTTGTGAAATGAAACCAGTTTTTTAAATTTTAACAACTTTTCAAAATTCATGAATTTTTAAAATTGCTCACTTTTTCAATCATAAAATTATTATAAATGTGAATTTAATTATTCGTAACGGACCAGTAAATAAGATATTTTATGTGTTAGCAAAACATTAAATGTTTAGTTCAAAGATCTTAAAAAATAATAATTTTTGACAAATAAGATAGCATAGTGCAAAGAAAAAAAAATTTGATTTTATTGACGTTTCAATACCCTACGCACGGGTAATAATATTACAAAGGATATTAATTTTCATTTACATAATATTTAAGCAATTTTTTACTTACTTAGTTGGGAATTAAAGGCGTGATTCGCGGCCAACGATAAAGTAGGCTCCGCCAGCTAGCCTAATCAGTGACTTGCTGTAGTCAGTTGGTGGTACCGTACCTGCTCCTTCCAGCGAGGATGCACACATCCTCTAACCCGTCTTCCACCAGTGAGTATCGATATTCTATTAACTATTCTGTTTAAATTGGCATTTCAAAACCAATATTTTATTAATTATCTTATATGTAGTGGGTTTGTTAGGTGAAAAAATCTAATAATTATTTTCTAAATCACAACTATTAGTCCAATATTTTTGCAAATGATATTTTATATTACTTTTTCATCATAAAATTTTTAAATTGAATGGTATTATATTGAAAAATAAAACAGTTAAGATTTGCATCAATGAATGTAATTTTAAAATTAGACAATGCTATACATTAACATATATTCTTTGATTATTCTCATACGTCCACAAAGTGTCATTCTTATGCATAGAAATAAATTTTAGTTTAGACTACGTAAGCACTATAACCTAAGAATGTTTTTTGGGTTCCGTTAGTTTACTGTGACAGTCAGTCTAATAAACAAACTTATTTAGACTCCACTCTATGATACCACTACTTAACATGGACTCTAACTGTTAGTTTATTTTGGAAACACTTTGTTTTTTTATACAACGCAGGATGTTTTTAATCTTAGCGCTGGGTACTACTATGAGAAAGGTAACTTAAGTTAGGTTGAAATGATGACTTTTTTTATTTTGGATCTATCACTATACCTCAACTGTTATTCCTTCTTTTCATTACTGTATAATTTTAACTTCATATTTTGTATAGTATTCAACCATATCTTGGTTCTCAATTCTTATTATCTTCCATTTTGGATCCAATAGTACCTCAATTTTGTGACTACATACTTG